TAGAATCACCCTGGAAATAATGATACTCAGACACCAGTCAATTGTGGCTGCACTAACTTATTTGAACCCTTAAAACGAAAGCTAAGTACTGATAACCACGTAATACATTACAGTTGTAGGCGTTTGGCTATTTGCCATATAGTTTTGCACACACAGGAATAATTGCTTTCTTCAAACCATGATCGCAGAAAAGACGGCCTTTTAGTAACATATTTTACTATGAAACATTTATAATGTACTTTTAAATGTATAGTTTGATAACCCAAACATTAAAAGAACATATTGCAGAGTAACCTCTTTGTTATAAAATTTGATTGACTGTTATATATTGCATGTAGGGGTTCCTAGATGTAACAAATATTTTAGCTATTTTTAACCCACAGAAGTGGAATGTTATTGACTAATTGTTTAAAAGAACTGATTGGCCTTATAATTTTATAAGTTGATAAAAAATTCTTTCCAGAATATATAGGTTGATCTCTTAATGGGATATTACATATTTTTATCATTTTTATTAATGAAATATAATTATAACAAAATCGTATTCCATAGTTCATAGCAGAAATAGAATTCTAGGGTCTATTTTAAGCAAAATCTATCAATCTAATAAGAAGGAATCACAATAAAGAATCCTAATTCCTCTAGAAAGACCAGAGGTCTAAATAAAAACTGCAAACTAAACTTGCTTCCATTTCCTTTGGCCAAGTTATTTCCTTCACATTTTAACCCTGGGCTTTTTATTATAGCACATCATAAGTATATGTACTGCTATACTTTAACTCAGGGACGTTTTAACATATAGTCATTTAATATAATGTGTCAAAAATTGGCCTCCAATGCTGAAAGCAGATATCTGAGGCCACTGTCAGCCAACTCAATCCCAGTGGTGAGTCTCCCTTCTCATCTCTCTTCCTCTGCCCTCCAGCCCCCTTTTTGTACTGGGGATTGAACACATGGGCATTTTACTACCCTGTTACATCCCCAGCCCTTTTTTATTTTGAGACAGGGTCTTGCTAAGTTGCTGAGGTTGTCCTCAAACTTGCACTCCTGCCTCAGCCTCCCTAGTCACAGGGATTGTAGGCAGGCACCACCACGTCTGTTCTCTTTCTCCTTTAAAAATACAGATGGGTGATATATTGAGGTGGGATTTTTTTTTCTCTCTTCTTTACATAATCTTTTATTTCATTGGCCAATCAATGTAATCGCTAAAAGTAATTTACATAATTCATCCTCAATTTTTTCTCCATGTGCATTATTTCAGTAAATTCTCCTTAGGATTAACACGATCGTTGGTCTCCAGAATATTCCATGCCATAAAAATTGTGGATGGTGTTATTGTGAAATTCATGAAAAATATTTTTCAGTTGGTCTGTACTGTCACAAAAACATGTAAGAAAAGACAGAAATGTGCTTTTGTGAGCAGCTGACCATACACTGAATGGAGAAAGCCCTGAGGCTCATGAGACACTTGCGTCCTAACTGCATTCCCTTCCCCAGGAGGAGAGTTGAGACTCACCTCTCTGTGAACAGGGGCGGAGGACTGCGACTGTGAGCATGGACCTGAAGTTGTTTCTAGTGTGCCTCTAAGCACATTGCCATCTCTCTACTTTCTCACTTTTGAGTTGACAACTCAAAGATTAAATAGGTTCTGTTCTTCCATCCTGGGCAGTGGGACATCTCATCCAGTCTTCACAGTTGTCTGAAGGTATTTTGGCAGCTAGAGTTCATAATTGAGTTACGAGTTGCCACATGAGATCCTTGGGACAACCCAGCTGCCAGCATCCCCCAGGCAGCCTTTCCCAGAAATACCCAGGTCCTTGGGGGTCAGCAGCAAAGTACACTTAAACTTTCAAATTTCTTTATAGCCCAAACTAAAATCAAAATAACATTTGTATTCTTCCATATCAACAAATCAACACTTACTCACTGGTTAGATCACAGTTAGCCCAATGACCCTTTTATATGAAAATGTCCAACTGATCTTGACCCATAATACAGAGAAATAGCATTAAATTGGGTGTGAAGTGACACCTGTTCAAGATCTTTTCATGAAATGGATTAATATTAGGATATGAACAGAAATGAATTTTGCAATATGCTAAATAAAAATGTTATCTCTTAATCTCCTTCCTCCTCATAAAAATAGCAAAAGGTTTATTCAGCTATTCTCAAACTTTTTTGTCTCAGAACCCCATTAAACTCATAATGGTAACTGAAGACCTGAAAGAGCATTGGCTTAAGTGAATTCTATCTATTGTTACTTACTGTATTAGAAACTAATGAAAGGAACTTTAAAAGTACTTATTAGCTAATGAACCCACTGCCAATGTTAATCTAAATAACACATTTTTACAAAATAGAATTATTTTCCTAAACAAATTTAGTGAGAAGAATGGCGTTATTTGACAGGTTTGCAAATCTCTTTATACAATGTGGTCGTAGTCTCATAACTGCTTCTATATTCAATCTGTTTTGTATGTTCTTCAGATGAAGTATACGA